AAAAATTAAATTAAAGTTAAAATACAAGTAAATAACGTGGAATAAAATTTCAATAACAAATTTACTAAAAGACTGGAGAGCCAATGGTTCCACACTCAGGGCTAAAATCTGACTGACTTTCCTCCTGGGTCTATCTGTAACAGGATGATTTAATTTGTACAGATGCATACTTTCCACATAAATCTATATATAAGGTTACCCAATGCAGCAAGAAAATAACATAACTGTCTTGCATCATCCCAGCTTGGCATTCTAAGCAGTATATTCCTTCCAATGAGTTTTTTTTTTGCTTCACAATTCATAAATTTACAGTAACATGTGTGTATTTCAGATGAGCGAAAAGACAATGACCCATAAATGAATTCTTGTTCAACTTTATGTTTTCTAATTTTGTTGCTTGTTAAAACAAGCATGTTGTTATTCCTTGGAATGTTTTGTTGATCTAAAGTTGTTCACAAATTAGAAATGATGTTTGGTTTCAGTATAATAACCTGACTAAATCTCATAGACTGTAAGGCTCTCTGGTGGATATTGTTGGGTGCCGTGTTGTCTTTGCTCTGCAGGTTCTTGTACAGAGTTCTGGTGTTTCCTGTCACTGTGGGCTGCAGAGCACAGTAGTACACAGCAGAGTCTGACAGACGGAGATCCTGGATCGTCAGATTGAAGGATTTCTTGTCACTGTCAAGGTCAGCATTGAATCTGATGTGGTTAAAATCTGGAGCTTTTTCCTTGGTTGAAGAAAGTTGCTTTAGCATGTACTTCGGAAAGCTGTTTTCTTCTAATTTATACCAGAACAAGGTATAACCTGTATAGCTTGTTGTAAAAATACATCCCAGAGTCACACATTCTCCTCTAGCAGCAGCAACATGTCCTTCTGTCTGCGTCACTGAGTCTCCTTTACACTCTAAGGAAGAACAGAACATGCAGAGGAAGAGATGAATCAATAAAGATGATTGATTAAAGGAGAACAATCAGCAGCTTTAAAGACTTCTATTCCATGTAGAATAGA